GGCAACATGCGGTTATCTCAGAAGTTATTTATAAACAGATCATGTTTGCGCGGTAAGATCACATGATCTTAGTAGTGATGATTGAACCAGAAAACACCCCCCTGATTGAACCTTCGAGAGAGAGAGAGAGAGAGAGAGAGAGCAGTTCTGCCCTGAAAACTAAGCGTATGCATTTGTTCGAATCTTTCTCATCATCTTTTCTGTTTTTGCATTTCTTTGTTCCACCCTCTCTCTCTCTCTCTCTCTATGCTTGTATATTCCCTTCTCTTGTTCATTACGGTTCTAGTTCTAGGAGAATTACCCTTGGGCAATTACCCTTGGGCAATTACCCCGACCAATTACTCTCCCCCCCCCCCCCCCCTCCCCCCAAACAATTATCGGGGTGAAAATATTTGCGACTTTTTTTCTTCTTCTTCCAGTCTCTCTCTCTCTCTCTACCCCACCCATTTATCACTTCACCATCTTCCCTCTTTCTTTCATTCTTACTCCCCATATCTCCCTCTCTCTCATTTCGCTATCTACCCCGTCTCCCTCCCTCGCCTTTCTCCTGTTCCTCTCTCTCCCCGGCTTTCCCCCTTTCTTTCACCTTTTCTCATACGGTATTCATTCCTTTCCTGAAAATCTCACAGCATGTGCGTCATTTTCACTGAAATAACGGCCATATTTTTCATATTATAAGAAGTGTAGTTGTTTCAAGAAAATGGACAGGTCAGCTGAAAGTAAGTCCTTATAATTATTTGGATGTTTTGATATTTTCGGTTGATTCAAGATGAAGAAAAGCAAAGGCAAACTGTTCGCCAGATTCCGGTAAAAATCGCCAGTCAATCCCTCTTTGAGTGTGAAGCAAGGGTTACCGGATGCGTGTGGGTCACCTCCCTGGTTTTATCAAAGCATTTATCCTCGTACCAGACGGTTAATTTTGTCTATTTTGTAATTAGCCGCCTGGAGAAGAAAAAAATCTGCGGTAGTCCGCAGTTGACAAAAAGGTTAGGCGACAACTGTACCAAAATAAGGGATAATACTTCAACACTAAATACTTAAGTTGTAAATTGATTTAATTTTTAGCTATGTCCTTCCATCGTGTTTATTTTAACTAGGACAAAATGACATGAGTTCGAGAACGCCGACTCGGCAGACGTTCACCGCATGTTAATTAAATCTGTTTAATGGTTGTTTTCTTGACAAAAACATCGAGTTAGAGTGACTATTGTGACGTTTGGAGATAACCATTATGACATCACAAAGCCGCGTAGCACTAGCATTCCACGCAAATGCGCATTTTTTCACAGACATTGCGCGCAAAGCAACGGCGCATAGCAACAAAGTAAACAAAGCAGCTCGAAGTTCGGGCGGTCCCCCAAATTCCGCGCGTGCGTTCAATTCTCGCTACCCTAAATAGGTACGAAAATCTCGAAATTCGCGAGACGAGGTAATTTTCACTCTCTCGGGTCGTCACTACAACTTCCGGTATAGAGTCCCATCCCGCTGGCGCTAGCGCCTGTGTTCGCTGTGCAGAGTTTTCACGCACGCTAAAATCGATGCCAATCAGTGTAATTTGTACAGATTATAATATGCAATGGAAAGCTTCGGGCAGAATTAGTGACTTTAGCACAAAAGGCCGTTAAACTCTACCGTGAAAGAGAGGGTTGTGATCACGAACGCCTGCACAGGAAGCTGTAATGTCGAAAAGCTATCCCATAATGCAATGCGCGTTTTCAGGATTTTCCACGGATCTCGGCAGAATCGCTATTTGGGGTAGCGAGAATTCAGCTGCCCGAAATCTGCCCGAAATCTGCCCGAAATCTGCCCGAACTTGCTCACATTTTTGGCAATTGACACTCAAAAAAAATACGCGACCCGCGGGTAGCTTGCCCGCGCCCGCAGCCCGCTGCCAAAACCTTTAGGCAGTAGTGTACACATTATTCGCACTTGTAACTTGGGGCACTTTCTCTCACGTCCTCTATCACAATCCTCCTATAAGGTAGCGAGCAATCTAAAGGTACAATGACATGGATAAGTGTCTGAATAGAACCAGACAATGATTTCGTTCTTCAAGTTCTCAATCGCGCTATCTAAAGAAGATGTAAAAGTACCAATCACCATTCACACTTAACTACTGTAACTAATGTGTAACCAGACATGTATTACTGTAAGAATGAATCTGTCAGCCTAATTGTTCAGGTGAACAAATAACAAGTAACACTTTATTAATAGATTCCAATTAACAGTGAGGCTTTCATGCCTAATTCAATGCTGACGTAATTCAACTTGAAAATGTATGCAATGCAATTACTAAATATAAGAGTTCAAATGTACATTATATACAGATGTGTTGTCACTTTTGTCAGACAACCAATAATTTACCTAAGAGATATACTAGCTTACCTAAGAGATATACTAGCTTAATTGTATAGAATATGTATGTATGTGTGTGGTCGCGAGTGGTCGCATCTTTTTGGCGCTCCCGTTTTTAACTTAAATTTTGTGCAGAATCTTACTGCCTTTTTATCTTTATTTAAATGTGGACCTATTTATATACTTATTGAACCTGAGTGATTCATTTTGAACTTTTTAGAGTAGATTTCGATCACTAATTCAGCATTTTAAGCTGGCTTATTTTTCGCGCCATTTCAATTGGAAGGAGTGGAGTTTCGTGCAGTAGCGAATGTACATGATACAGCGTGGAGTAGACTCGCGTACATTGAAGATCGTGCTACATGACTCTGCAAATTTCCAATCCAGCGCCTATCGGGATTTTAAAAGTTTTTAGCTCAACTTTTTACCGTTTTTGTGATTAAAACTTGGTCGTCGTTCCTGTGGAATTGTTTAGTCTTTTTTTCCTTTGGTTATTTTGTGATTTAACTGTATCTTAACTAACGTGCTTTGGACGAGCCTGATTATTAGAATAAAATACCCGGATATCCGCCATCTTGCCTTCATCCCTAACGCAATGGAGATTATTTATAGACGAAATTGGAAAAGTGGTCCAACCACAACAACAGCCTTTGCCCTGTATACATTGGTTTGTATCACACTTATGATCACTGGAATGCGCTTCTCACAACATTTACAACGGGAACTACAGGAGGAGAGCACATACGGTAGTATCTTACCATTTTTTGATACTACTTTCAACCCAAGATTTAGTAAAGAAATCCAATCTCTTACTACCACTACCAGAATCGCTAGAGTAGTTACGTTCACTGTAGGCGTACTAAAAACTACTGACTTTAGCACTGATGAAGCTTACTTGATATCGTTCTCTGATGCAACTAAAATTAATCTAGTAGGGAGATCAAGATTAAACTCAACACCTTTTCTTGGATTGCCACGTGGGAGGCTACCACTCCTCATTTTGATAAACCTCCTGGCTGGAGATATAAGCCTAAACCCAGGCCCAGTCACAAGTAACTCGACTACAGAAATAGACCCTTACACTACCACTAGAAATCGCCTTTTAAACCTGGCCCCTGAGAAGAAGAGACGCAGAGGCCGCAAACCTAAATTTCCATGTGGCCTTTGTGGCTATGCTGCCAAAACTGATTGCATACAGTGCTCGAGCTGTGATGCATGGTTCCATGAAAATTGCTCAGGAATCTCCAACGATACAATGAAATTGCATGCTGACCACCCTAGCCTCATTTGGATATGCCCAGTGTGTGATGACATGAATTTCAATTCAGGTTTTATTGTAAATAAAAACATACTGAATAAAAAGTCCGGAGACTCATACAATTCAGTTTACAAATTATAAATACATACAAGAATAAAGAAATCAATACTTTTGGCAATCTTTTTTTTATATTAATTACTGATTATAATGAACTAAACAACTAATTTCAAACAATCGTGAAATAATACATGTTCTAATTGTGCAATTAAAACGTTTAAAAAGTAAAATAAGTTGTTACCGTTTTCTAAATGTCATATGCAATTTTGTAATACACTTTCAAATTAATAAGTAGTCTTTTTTAAACCTAGTTAACATTTCTTTAAAAGTATAGTTATATATAGATGATTATCCGAGAGATATGATACTCAAAATATACAATTTATGTTTACTTACAGAGTATAGTGTTATCATTTTACAGGTAGTATGAAATTTGATTTAATCTGATTAATTGGCATGACAAGAAATTAATTAATTACATCTTGGTCACATATGGTCATAATATTGAGTGAAAATATCTATAGATTTGAATTCAGGATTCGTGTGAAGTGGGGAATGGGAGACTGTCTGTAACGTTCTGTTCTCATTTTGGGGGTATTGAGCTGGAGAGAGTTGCGGAGAGTGCGTCGTGAGATAGTTTGTCTGGTTTCAGGTAAAAGATGGCGGTGGCGGTCTGAGATCAGAAGGGACTTAGCAAACTTTTCGCAAAGAACAGAGCGTCGTTCAGACAGTCTGACAACACTCAGCGACTGCAGAAGTTGAGCATAAGACATTGTGTCGGGAAATGTACCAGTGATAATACCCAATGCTCTCCTCTGCAGCCGCTCAATGCTGTTTACTTGGACAACAGTTAAACTAGATGACCAAACGGGTACACCAAATTCAAGACACGGACGAATGTACATCATGTACATCAATACCAAGTCCCGAGTGTTGACACCGTTCCTTTTCAGTTTACTCAGTACATATAGTTTGCGTGATGCGTTTTTGACGATGGTTTTGATGTGTAGGTCCCATTTAAGATTATCTTGGATTGTTATACCAAGTAATTTCATATAAGATACCACTTCAAGCTGATTACCATTGATCTCCAAATGGGGGGCAGGTGGGGCATTACGCAAGAATGAGATCAGCATGGTTTTGCACTTCGTTGGATTGGGCCTCATGTCGTTTATTTCACACCAATCAACAAGATAATCAATGTGTGTTTGTAACTGCGGAGGGTCCGATTTGTTGACAACCTCTAGAAGGCTTAGATCATCAACATATTTCCAGCGGTTTTCTGTAGACAACGCGGCATCATTAACCATTATCAGGAAAATAATGGGTCCTAGTTTAGTTCCCTGAGGAACACCACAAGTGAGGTGGGAAAGATTTGATGTTACCCCGCGATAACGAACAGTTTGCGTTCTTTGCGTCAGGAAACTACAGATAGTCGGGAGAATGGAGCGGTCAACTCCTATGTCAATCATTTTTCTGATTGCTGTAACATGGTTGATATGATCGAAAGCTTTACTGAAATCGATCATGCATAAGTTAACATACTTCCCAGGTCGGTCAATTCCCCGATGAGCATTATCCAAGAGACTGATTAAGTAATGGCAAATTGATGTTCCGGGCATGTTCCCAAACTGTTGGGGATCAATAGCATGGTGCACATCTTCAATAATCCAACGGGCAAGGAATCCCTCAAACACTCGTGCTAATACTGACGTGATAGAAATGGGTCTCAGTTGGTCAGGTGTCGTTGCAGGCCGGACCTTAGGCACTGGACACACTGATGCATTTTTCCAGATATGTGGGAAACATCCATTTTTTAAACAGCAGTTGAAAATGTGGGTGAGCGGCTCAGACAGCTCGTACGCAAATTCCTTGATGAGGCGTGTTGGGCAGTCGTTCGGGTGACCAGCCTTGGAGACATTGACTTTTTGTAGGCATTCAAAGACCTTTTGTCGCTCGATGATTGGAGGTGGTGTCGGCGCAGGGAGGTAATCCGGCAATGAAGCCAGGTCGAGAGATGGAAGGGCCGAGCAAATCCGGCTAAAATGAGCGTTTATCTCATTCGCAATCTCCAAATCGGATTTGTCGGCTGGAAAGCTGAGAGACTGTTTCTTAAGTCCTGCTAGGTGGCGAATTTGCTGGTGCCATTTCCCAGGTTCACTGTGTTTCAGATGTTCCACTTTCCTGCTATAGAGACTTTTCTTGGCAGAGCTGATTTCTCTTTGTACCTTATTTCTTACGCTACGAAATGAGTCATCACCTCGCGTATAGCTGATATTGCGCTGAGTAATGGCCCGGCGGATGGCATCATTCATCCATGGTTTATCGTTGGGACGTCGTTTGACTGTGATAAGATCAAAGTATTGCCGATATTTTGTGTCTAGAAGTTGGTGAAGATTTGCAGTCATTTTGTTTCCATCAGTGGATTCCTTATATTCTGACCAGTCCATCTGCGTGATCCATTGCCCAAAGGCGCGGATGGAGGAATCACGAAATGGTCGGAAGGATATTTTTGTAGTGCTACGTGGTGGAATAAGGAGCAGAGGAAAGTAAGTAATAACAGAGTGGTCACTTAAAGCAATGGGTGCTGAAATGACAGGCTCTTCATAACAATCCCCGAGATCTGTCAATAATTTGTCCAGGATGGATGTACCCCTGGTCGGTTCTTTTACTACTTGGGACAAGAATATGTCAAATTCCAGCAGTAACCTGCCAGCAAGTAACTCTTTTAATATTTTGTCTTCCCTTCATGAACTCGAAGTGAAACTTAAAGAAAATTTACCAAAGGACACGCCTCATTCAAGTGAGACTAAAGGAACTAGTCTCCGTGGCGAGAAGCCTGATGTGAAGATTACCCCAATTAAGCTTAGGAAAAAGGGTAATAATTGGCATAGAGTTGACCACCAAACTGTCTCTCCAATAAAGATCTCAAACTGCCTGGGATCATGGATAGTAGTAAAAGGGAAGAATAAATCCACACACAGTGTAGGACACGCATGTAGGAGTACAACTACAAGTACACCGCTAATGAGTGCGGCCAGTCAGCCCTGCATTGGAACCCCACATTCAGTAAAAAAAGAACCTGTTCCACCCAACGAACCATGCTGATCATCAGACATACCCGGCCGGAAAGGAGAAAACGTTAAATCACCACAGAGATCTCAAGGTCATCGTAGTTAATTTCAGAAGCATTAAAGGGAAAGTAGCCGTCCTTGAATCATTATTGGATCAAGAGAAACCAGACGTTGTTATAGGCACAGAAACTTGGCTTGACGCAAGCATTAACTCTGCAGAAATCTTTCCTAGTTCCTTCAACATCTTCAGAAAGGACCGAAATTATATGGGAGGAGGAGTCCTCACAGCTGTAAACAAGAATATACCCTGCTTTGAACGAAAAGATCTTTCACAACCGGACATCGAATCGGTCTGGTGCCAGCTTAATTATCTAACCAAGCTGATGATACTGTCTTGTTCGGAACCTACTATAGACCCCCAAATGATAGGTCCAAGACCATCGAGAATCTAGGAGATGCTCTTACTGAAATCTATAAAAGCAAAAAGTCACCACATATAATCCTAGGAGGTGACTTTAATGTCCATGGGCTCGACTGGACAGAGGATCCTGTGGAGCCGAAGAATGCTCTCCACGAAACACTCATTAATTTTATTCAAGAAAATCATCTTACACAGATAGTGAATTTCCCCACCCGACAAGATGCAAATGGAACTAAAAACACACTTGATCTGATTTTGACCAGCCACCCATCATTAATGTCAAATGTTGAACCTAGCCCTGGAATCAGTGATCACTGTATCATCAAAGCATCGGTATCAACAAAGACTAAAATAGATGCCATGTCTCCACGTAAAATCTATTTGTGGAAAGATGTCCCAGAGGAAGAATTCAAGACGAGGGCTTCCAAGCTCAGTCTGATTACTTTGATTGTAACCCAGAGAATAAAACAGTAGAAGAAAACTGGTCTTGGTTTCGGAATAACCTGTCCAACATCATTGAAGATTTAGTTCCCACCAAGCTAATTAAAGGGCGAATGCGCCCACCATGGTTTACTAGCAAACTTAAAAGACTTTGCAAGAAAAAGGAGAAACACTATATTAAAGCAAAAAGATCAGGAAATGATAAGGACTGGGAACTCTTTGTAAATACTCGGAAAAGTACTGATAAAATAATTAGACGTGCCCACAGAAACTTTGTTGCTTCCATAATGGACTCTGACAATGTAAAATCCTTTTGGCGCTATGTAAAATCTAGAAGGAAGGGAAATTCAGGAATTAAACCACTCAAAGTCCCAGGGAAACTTCTAACAGATGACCTGGACAAAGCACAAGCCCTCGCAAACCAGTTCAACAGTGTCTTCACACGGGAAGATCCTGAGATGACACCCAAGCCATCCATGAAAGCTGATCCTTTCCCTGAAATGCCACCTATCATAGTTACGGAAGAAGGAGTAAGAAAATTACTACAACACATCAAAGTAGCCAAGGCGATTGGTCCGGACAAAATACCCAACCAAGCCCTTAAACTGGCAGCATACGAACTGGCAAGAGTACTGCAACACATCTTCCAGCTTTCATTAGACACGGGGGAACTACCATTAGACTGGAGACGAGCAAACATCACGCCAATCTATAAGAAAGGGCAAACAACTGACCCAGCAAACTATAGGCCGGTGTCCTTAACTTGTACCTCCTGCAAGCTTCTGGAACACATCATCGATAGTAATTTAATGAAACACCTGTCCAAGCATGATATCCTCTCAGATCAACAACATGCTTTCCGTAAAGCAAGATCATGTGAAACACTGTTGATTGTGACCAACCACGACCTAACTAAGAACATGGACGACAAACTCACAACGGATATAGCTATCCTCGATTTTGCCAAGGCTTTCGACGTTATGCCTCACCAGCGTTTGCTCATCAAGTTAGAGCACTATGGCATACGTACTAAAACGAAAGACTGGATCTCATCCTTCCTCTCAAAGAGATTCCAAAGGGTGCTGGTGAATGGAAAGTCATCTGACTGGTCCCCCGTACTCAGTGGAGCACCCCAGGGTACAGTACTCGGCCCCCACCTTTTCCTGCTTCACATTAACAACATACACGATGGAATATCCAGCACCGTCAGACTTTTCGCAGATGACTGTCTTGTTTACAACACCATCAAATCCCAGAGAGATGAAGATACCCTCCAACAAGACCTGCATAAACTGGTGAACTGGGCTGACGAATGGGGCATGAGATTCAACCCGTCTAAATGTACCACAATGCGGATTTCCAGGGGAAGAAACAACTCGCACACCACATATAACATGATGGGAGTAACTCTTGAGAAAACAAAGGAAAGTAAATATCTAGGTGTCTACATTCAAAACGACCTGAGATGGAATGCACAGGTAAACTATGCCAGATCTAAAGCATCGAAAGTACTGAATTTCCTCAAGAGAAACTTTCGCCATACCTCGCAGTCAACCAAGGAGAAACTTTATAAGACACTAGTCCGGCCTCACCTGGACTATGCGACGTCAGCCTGGGACCCGTTCACTGCTAAAAACATCAAAGACCTTGAACGTGTCCAAAACGCCGCAGCCAGGTTCACGACATCAACTTATGGCAGGGACACAAGTGTTACGTCGCTCAAAGAATCCCTTGGATGGCTGCCGCTGCAAGAAAGACGGCGAGCAAACAGATTAACCTGCCTCTACAAAACACTAAATGGGACTATGGATATCGACCATCGGAAATACATCACCCCAAAGACCCACGGCAGAACACGGGGGCATGACCACCAATTCCAGCTTTATCACACGAGAACTGATGTCCATGCAAACTCGTTCTTCCCCAAAACCACAAAGGAATGGAACAACCTACCGTCTTCAGTAATTTCTGCCAAAACTACTTCTGCATTCAAAGCAGAGCTGTTCACTTTCTTAAAACCCACAAGCCAAAAGTAACTGACCACTCAAAGCCACACCTCCAGTTAACATTCCCTAGTGGAATGTTCCGGAGGAATCCAATCCAAGATCCAAGATCCAAGATCCAAGATTATGTATAGTAGATGCAGTATTATGTTAAAGAGTTCTATAGGGACAGGTTTAAGATGTAACAATAATAGATTACTAGCAACTGAATTCTACTCCAAAGTATACCTTTTCTTTCCTACTAAAACATAAAAAGTAATTCTATTCCGGGCTAAACACAACATAGCCACTTCATCTTACAGTCAATCTAGGCTGACTAGCAGCCATCCAATAATCACTCCATTCCAAGTTCAAGTCCAAATGCTTAACTGCCTTGCTTCTTATTGCCTATAGCATAATCAACTTATAGTATTCGTAATCACCGCTCAACGGGAGTTTTACTCTCGGGTCTATCCACTAGCTCACTCTGTCGGCATAACCATGCGATCTTTAATCCTTAGGTCTTTACAACAGGTTATAGCCTCGAATTTCCAATTCCTTTACCTATCGCTAACTTCCAGAATTTACTAATCAGTTTTAAACGTACTTCAATCTTAAGACAACCGGTTTGTCTAGGGATTCATCCCGTTGCTGTCTGTAAATTCAGTGCTAAACCTACACTTAACTGTCCACTTTCGATAATTGTCACAACTTGTTATTAACTGTAATAAACTAAGTAATTGATATTCAATGTTTCTAACTGTACACATTCCAAGTGTCAGAGAGAGAGAGAGTGTGAAAGTGTGATTCACAACATATTTAGAGTAACTACTTACCGGTACATATAGGAGCAAAGGCATTGTTAAATTAAGTAAAGGACTGCAGGCTGCCTTTGTCCTCTGGACAGATACAATAACGAGGCATCTAAAGATAACCTAAGTCATACACTAAGTATCTACAGTATATATTTACAGGTATAAAATAATTAACATGTTTAAATTGTACAAGTGACCTAAGAGTTAAACTTCAACTAAATCCTAATCTTAAACTTAATCTAAAAGATGCCTCATGTCTTATAAGGCTCTGGTGACATATAACTATGTTACAGAGGCCCAAAGCCTCGCTTTCCAAAAGTCATTATTGAAGACGGGTTATACCTATTAAAATATAAAGATGTAACCACTAATGAATAACAACGAATACATCTTACATGTCTATGGTCATACAAATAAACATGCCAAATTGATCAAAGTACAATACTGTCGGCCCAAATACTGCCGGTGTGGTAGGCGATTTGTTCCGGGTTCCGCGGAACAAATCGGCGCGCCGATTTGTTCCTCGGAACGAATCTACTGGATCGACTCGTTCGCAGATACGTTCGAAAGCCGCCGTTCTTATCCGACATTGGCCGAACGTTTCTGCTTATATAATCGCGTATATTTGTATTACTTGTGTCGAATAAACATGGTAAAAATAAATTTTAGCTTTATCTTGATACTTTTGTATTTATTGTTGCAATGAAAACCAATATTATTTTTTTTGAAATATTACTTAATAATAAGGTTTATAACCTCGTACGGAATTACCCGCGCGCGGTACGAAAAATAAATAAATAAATAACCTAGACTACTGACTAAACCCTAACTAGATCTAGGCCGAGCTAGATTCTAGGCCTAAGTCACTGCGTGGCGTACTGATTGGGGGGGGGGGGGGGGGGGGGGAGTTGACCCAAATAACATTCAAAACGTGGTTTATTTCTTATTCGATACCAGTGATTTACAAATGAAGAGCTTGATTCCAAAAGAAGCTAAATCCATATTTTGTTAAAAATTGAGTTAGACCTAGATCTAGATCTAGACCTAGAGTATATCTGTCTTAAAATAATGATTTCCTACTTGGGGACAAAATGCACTAGACCCTAGTCTAGTCTAGACCTAGTAGAAACACATTCGAAAATTTCAGCAGGAATTATGAACAAATTTAGATAGAGTCTACAATAGATCTATCATGTTTCATTCCAAAAGGAGCTAAATCCAAATTGGTTTCATTCCAAAAGGAGCTAGAAGTCTAAATCCACTTTGGGTAATTCTGAGTAGAGTCTAGACTTTAGACCTCTAGGATCTAGATCTAGATCTAAATCACCTTTTTATTTAGGCCTAGATCTATCCACTTTCCCTTAAGCCATGCACCTTCATGTTGTTATTGGTCTAGATCTATATGTTAAAGGTGTCGCCCTGGACCAATAATATAGATCTAGACCTAGGTCTAGATCTAGATCTATGATAAGAAAAATAATTAGGTCTAGGGTCTAAAGTTGTTTCTGATTTTTACTAAATTTTAGATTTTGTGGATTTAGCTCCTTTTGGAATGAAACATGGATGGATGAAACAAATTATGCCAGAGACGGCACTCCCAGTGGGGGGGGGGGGGGGGGGGTGGCAATTTGTCTTTGCCCCCTACTTTTTTAGGTACCCCCAAAGTGTCCTTTTCCTCTCTTTTCATCTCTGATAACAGATGAGTAGATCTAGTCTAGAGAGTCTACCTCTTTTCAGGTGCAAGAATTTCACCTCTGATATTTTTGCCCTTTTTTTATACTGACTCGTGCCCCTTTTCCTTTTTAATAAGTGCAATTTTTCTCTTCTCTTTGTCTTAAATGCCACTTTAACCTCTGATAAGTGCCTCTTTTATTGTGACCCCTTTGCTTTTGACAAGTGCCCCTTTTTTCTTTTTTATATGAGCCCCTCCCCTTTTCAAAATGCCCCTTTTAATCTGATAACTGCCCCTATTAAAATTCTGATAGGTGCCCTTTTCATTCAAAATATTCCCCTTTACTTGAGGAATTTTCTTTCTCTTCTTTTCTTCTTCTTTTTTTTTTATTGGTCCTTCTTAATTATCAGCTCGACCACTCATTTCTTTTTTTGTTGACCCCGCCCCCCCCCACCCCACCCCGCATCTCTTTCATTTAAACTATACATGTACATCATGCATGCAGCCCACATGCATAATTAAATTCTGTGATGAAGCCCGGTAATAGGTGGTTAACGTAACACGATATCATATAAAGCAGCATTCAAACCAAATTAGAAGGCCTGATTAGAAAACACCCCGACATCTGCTTTTACAGGCAAACTAAGCCTATGGCAACAACTGCCCTTTTTGCTAGACCACCCAGTCACCGTCGCTTCGCGACGGCGCTGTCTATAGTTACTGTTTGTGGTCAATCATTGGCCGCAATTATCAACATATTTGAACAACGGGAATCTGCATTTCTATACAAAGTTCTCAAATTGGCAATCGTTGGTGTAGCTAATTTGGAGAAGTTTGATTGGTTGCAAAGGCCGACCAGAATAGTTCATTTTGCTTTAGGGGTGTACCATGGCGTGTATTCAATAATACGTGAGCACGCACGCTCTCCGATGAGATTCGGAACGGATCGCCTGGCCGGAACCGATCGCCTGTGACTAGCGGAACGAATCTACGAATCCGGAACAAATCGGCGGGTACATATCCAGGCGATCGGTTCCGGAGGAACCGATCGCCTGCACGGAACAAATCGCCTATGACACCGGCCCAAATACTGCCGGCCCAAACTACTGCCGGTGTCATAGGCGATTTGTTCCGTGCAGGCGATCGGTTCCTCCGGAACCGATCGCCTGGATATGTACCCGCCGATTTGTTCCGGATTCGTAGATTCGTTCCGCTAGTCACAGGCGATCGGTTCCGGCCAGGCGATTCATTCCGTGGAACCAATCGGCGGGATATTTAGCCGCCGATCCGTTCCGAATCTCATCGGAGAGCGTGCGTGCTCACGTATTATTGAATACACGCCATGGTACACCCCTAAAGCAAAATGAACTATTCTGGTCGGCCTTTGCAACCAATCAAACTTCTCCAAATTAGCTACACCAACGATTGCCAATTTGAGAACTTTGTATAGAAATGCAGATTCCCGTTGTTCAAATATGTGCGGCCAATGATTGACCACAAACAGTAACTATAGACAGCGCCGTCGCGAAGCGACGGGGACTGGGTCGGGTCTAGCAAAAAGGGCAGTTGTTGCCATAGGCTTAGTTTGCCTGTAAAAGCAGATGTCGGGGTGTTTTTTAATCAGGCCTTCTAATTTGGTTTGAATGCTGCTTTATATGATATCGTGTTACGTCAACCACCTATTACCGGGCTTCATCACAGAATCTAATTATGCATGTGGGCTGCATGAATGATGTACATGTAGTTTAAATGAAAGAGATGCGGGGTGGGGTGGGGGGGGGGGGGCGGGGTCAACACAAAAAGAAATGAGTGGTCTAGCTGATAATTAAGAAGGACCAATAAAAAAAAAAAAGAAGAAGAAAAGAAGAGAAAGAAAATTCTTCAAGTAAAAGACGTGTCCGGCAGAATAAAAAAATAAAAAATAAAAGAAAAACCCGACATATTTTGTTGAATTTTCAACCCTTGGTACTAGCCGACAAAAGTTAGTGTTAACTCTTTGTTTGCTTTGTTCGCCGATTTGCACGGACGTAGGCGTGCCAACTTCGCATTTTTGCACAGATGTATACGAGTCAATTAGACATTCATAATACCGCTCGCAGTGTGTAGCCACGCGTTGCGTTTACTATTGTTTACATTGTATACATCGCACACTTTCCGGTAAACTGTTTTTCTTCATAGTGTTACATTCGAAATTACCGTGTATTTAGCGGTTTTCTTTGGATTTTTTTTACTGATGTTACGATGGCACCTGCTGGAAAACGTCAACGTGTGTTTAGTGTAGAGGAGGCTCGAGATCTTGTTACTATGGAAGCATGGAGCATGGACTCTGATTCCGACGAATCGAGCAGTGACGAAGACTCTAGTGATAAAAGTGTTCCCTGAGAGTAGACTGATAGAATAAGAATGAATAAAAATTAATGAAAGAGCTAGAGATGACAGCAAGAAAGAGAGTAGACTGATAGAATAAGAATGAATAAAAAAAATGAAAGAAGGAGATAGAGATGACAGCAAGAAAGAGAGTAGACAGTGATAGAATAAGAATGAATAAAAATAATGAAAGAAAGAGATAGAGATGACAGCAAGAAAGAGAGTAGACTGATAGAATAAGAATGAATAAAAATTAATGAAAGAGCTAGAGATGACAGCAAGAAAGAGAGTAGACAGTGATAGAATAAGAATGAATAAAACTAATGAAAGAAAGATGTATCCTGTCTTGCCGTCATCTTTATATCTTTCTTTTATTATCTTTATTCATTCTTATGCTATCAGTGTTTACTCTCTTTCTTTCCGTCATCTCTATCTTATTATTATTATCATTTTCCTATCTATATGTACCCTATGTCTTGCCGTCATCTGTATATCTTTTTCTTATTATCTTTATTCATTATTATGCTATGAGTGTAATACTCTCTTTCTTGCCGTCATCTCTATCTCATTATTATTATCATTTTCCTATCTATATGTACCCTATGTCTTGCCGTCATCTCTATATCTTTCTCTTATTATCTTTATTCATTCTTATGCTATCAGTGTTTACTCTCTTTCTTTCCGTCATCTCTATCTTATTATTATTATCATTTTCCTATCTATAATTATGTACCCTATGTCTTGCCGTCATCTCTATATCTTTCTCTTATTATCTTTATTCATTCTTATGCTATCAGTGTTTACTCTCTTTCTTGCCGTCATCTCTATCTTATTATTATTATCATTTTCCTATCTATATGTACCCTATGTCTTGCCGTCATCTGTATATCTTTCTCTTATTATCTTTATTCATTCTTATGCTATCAGTGTTTACTCTCTTTCTTGCCGTCATCTCTATCTTATTATTATTATTATTTTCCTATCAATATGTATCCTATGTCTTGCCGTCATCTCTATATATTTCTCTTATTATCTTTATTCATTCTTATGCTATCAGTGTTTACTCTCTTTCTTGCCGTCATCTCTATCTTATTATTATTATCATTTTCCTATCTATATGTACCCTATGTCTTGCCGTCATCTGTATATCTTTCTCTTATTATCTTTATTCATTCTTATTCTATCAGTGTTTACTCTCTTTCTTGCCGTCATCTCTATCTTATTATTATTATTATTTTCCTATCAATATGTATCCTATGTCTTGCCGTCATCTCTATATATTTCTCTTATTATCTTTATTCATTCTTGTGCTATCAGTGTTTACTCTCTTTCTTTCCGTCATCTCTATCTTTTTATTATTATCATTTTCCTATCTATATGTACCCTATGTCTTGCCGTCATCTCTATATCTTTCTCTTATTATCTTTATTCATTCTTATGCTATCAGTGTTTACTCTCTTTCTTTCCGTCATCTCTATCTTATTATTATTATCATTTTCCTATCTATATGTACCCTATGTCTTGCCGTCATCTCTATATCTTTCTCTTATTATCTTTATTCATTCTTATGCTATCAGTGTTTACTCTCTTTCTTTCCGTCATCTCTATCTCATTATTATTGTTATTTTCGTATCAATATGTATCCTGTCTTGCCGTCATCTTTATCTCTTTCTCTTATAATCTTTATTCACAGTAAAGTCCTTTCATTTCATATCACTATTTCTCTCTCATAATGTCTCTCACGTCCGTTCTCCATATTTTATTCATTGCATACTCCACTCGTCAATCATTTCTGATAATAAGCTCTCTCACAATAAAGTAAATGGAAAACAATGCAATATAGTTTATATTTTAAGATTGATTCATTCTTTCTTTGTATATCTATGGCTGTGATAAATGTACTTGAAATCAATTTTATTGAGGGGTAAAGAAGGTGAGAGAACAGATGCGGTGAACATTCATAATGAGACATTTCAATAAGATGCTGATTATGTCATGTATATCACATATAATATATTATGCCTATACCATTTTTACATGCTCATACCAGTGGGCAAAATCAATAACATTCTCTTATTTCTTATTGACTTATCATGGCACAACAAAGAAAAACATCCCCACGACGTCCCTTTTCATGCCCCGCTAAACCGGACATTGACAATAACCTGGGGTAATAGGGATTTCAATGGGCAGATTAGCCCATTGTCAAGGGTGGCTGAGCGGGGTACTTTCAAGTCTCTCCCTATTGAACTTCTTTTCTTCAACAACCTAAATACTAACCTTCTGAATTGTTAGAATACTTGAGCAAGGTATGTAAAGAAAGGTAAGAAGTCCACCTTTCTAATAGATTCGATTTGAAGATGTCTTATCATTGCTAAATAAGAAATTCTAGAGGGATAAAAAACTGCCGTAAATAAGAAAAATTAAACATTATATAATTATGATTATTATAAAAATGATAAATCAAAATATAACAAATGACGGTTCATCGAAAAGCACGTTTTCCGGTCTACAACTTTGCTGCACAATATTTTTCATCATGATCATCCAGTGAAGAGTTATAGCCTCTTGATTCAGCAGAGTCAATAAAGATTCCCTCGAAATGTGTGACCCTAAAAGAATGTGGCACAGGGGGGTTTTTTAAGTGGCGCATAAAGAGTTAAACAGAGCCATAGCATAGTGTGTCTATACCCCCCCCCCATTCCGCTACATACAGTGGCAGATCTGTTGCGCCCCCTTGTTTGGAAACCACTAATTTCACGTACATTTTCACGTACATGTAGGCCTAATATCAGAAAACTATCGCCTGCCCCCCCCCCCCGTGCCGAGTATGCACGTGCGTGCATGCATATGATATACATGTACTCTATGCGCATATACTAGTCAGTAGGTTATTTATTTATTTATTTTTCGTACCGCGCGCGGGTAATTCCGTACGAGGTTATAAACCTTATTATTAAGTAATATTTCAAAAAAATAATATTGGTTTTCATTCCAACAATAAATACAAAAGTATCAAGATAAAGCTAAAATTTATTTTTACCATGTTTATTCGACACAAGTAATAAAAATATACGCGATTATATAAGCAGAAACGTTCGGCCAATGTCGGATAAGAACGGCGGCTTTCGAACGTATCTGCGAACGAGTCGATCCAGTAGATTCGTTCCGAGGAACAAATCGGCGCGCCGATTTGTTCCGCGGAACCCGGAACAAATCGCCTACCACACCGGCCCAAATACTGCCGGCCCAAATACTGCCGGTGACACTTGCACAAATATACTTCCAACTTGACTAACATGACTTTGGCAATTTAAAAGGTACCAAAACTGTACATGTATATCACACACATCAACATCTGAGACAAAGTTACCCAATCCCTTTAACAATAACCTACCCCTTTAACAATAACCAACCCAGCTAGCTGTCCAAAATATTGCCATTAGCGTTGGCACAAATATAGTGCCAGAACAATACACACTGAGTGTGTGTATCCGACAACACGCATCTAAATTGTGCTAGCTTGACTGGCTTGGAGGCGGGACACACAAATTATGACATCACAGCTCTAAACTATGAACGCGTACAGTCAGTGACCCAAATTCTCGGCCTCAATTTCTTGGCTTACGCTTGCAGACCCAAACAATTAACTTTTCCAAGTATGTAATACAAATTTGTCTCAACAACAACAAAGATGAAAATACATTGGTTATAAAATAAGACTAAACATGGTAATTACCTAATGGCTCGGGGAGAAAACTGGCAGAGAGAGCAGAGAGAGCAGAGAGAGCAGAGAGAGCAGAGATGAGAGCAGATGAGAGTGGAGCTAAGGGAGATTAACAGCTCGCCCCTCCTATTTATACTCTGGGTCTGCGTACGTGTAGTCTTAATTACGTGCAGCATAAAACAATGTTGATTGGTAATTAAGCTTACGCGGGTACGGTATGCGCTTCTTACATCTTTCAAATCTTAATACTTCGTACATGTATATTTTATAGAATAAACACTCGGGGAAATAGTCATTTATTGTAGAAGTATCCCAATCAAATGGGTTCTATTTTAAAGGTTGTTTACTGAGGAAACGAGACATATAATTCTTGTCCTACCAGGACATGGTACCCAGGTCGAAAATCCTATAGAAACCAGTAGAAACCAGTAGAGACATTCTAACGGTTTCTACTTGTTTTCCAGAAACCAGTAGAGTCCAATGGTTACAGGAGGAACTGTGGAGTAGATCCAGTATAAACCTTTACAAACCAGTAGACTCTAATGGTTTGAAGACCAGTAGAAACGAATAGAAACCAGTAAGATCTAATGGTTTGAACATGGGTGTAAAAAACCTAAGTCAAACCATTAGAAACCTTAACAAACCAGTGGAGCCTAATGGTTTTGAAGACCCATAGAAACCAATAGAAACCAGTAAGATCTAATGGTTTGAACATGGGTGTAAAAATCCTAAGTCAAGCCATTAGAAACCTTTACAAACCAGTGGAGCCTAATGGTTTTGAAGACCCATAGAAACCAATAGAAACCAGTAAGATCTAATGGTTTGAACATGGGTGTAAAAATCCTAAGTCAAACCATTAGAAACCTTAACAAACCAGTGGAGCCTAATGGTTTTGAAGACCCATAGAAACCAATAGAAACCAGTAAGATTTAATGGTTTGAACAAGGGTGTAAAAATCCTAAGTCAAACCATTAGAAACCTTTACAAACCAGTAGAGCCTAATGGTTTTGAAGACCCATAGAAACCAATAGAAACCAGTAAGATCTAATGGTTTGAACATGGGTGTAAAAATCCTAAGTCAAACCATTAGAAACCTTAACAAACTAGTGGAGCCTAATGGTTTTGAAGACCCATAGAAACCAATAGAAACCAGTAAGATCTAATGGTTTGAACATGGGTGTAAAAATCCTAAGTCAAACCATAACGGAACCTTTACAAACCAGTGGAGCCAAATGGTTTTGAAGACCCATAGAAACCAATAGAAACCAGTAAGATCTAATGGTTTGAACATGGGTGTAAAAATCCTAAGTCAAACCATTAGAAACCTTAACAAACCAGTGGAGCCTAATGGTTTTGAAGACCCATAGAAACCAATTAAGATCTAATGGTTTGAACTGGGTGTAAACATCCTAAGTCAAACCATTATAGAAACCTTTACAAACCAGTAGAGCCTAATGGTTTTGAAGACCAGTAGAATCTAATAAATCTAATGGTTTTAACATGGGTGTAAAAATCCTAAGTCAAACCAATAGAAACCTTTACAAACCAGCAGATCGAGCTCAATGGTTTTGAAAACCAGTTGAAACAAATAGATACCAGTATGATATCTAGCACCGCCTCTGGATCAATCTAACTATATTTATTTAAGCCCCCAAAACAGGGGTGAAAAACTCTCAAATTTCATTAGTCATTATATTAATAGTTTTATTTTACAGATATTGTGCAACATCTTGACATGCCCTATAAGGTCTGCAATATTGATCAAGACTATAAGCTACTCCCGCCTTTTTTGAACGGGTACACAGCATGGCATCCCTCTGGGCTACATTATAGCACTGTGTGTGTGTGCACATGTAATCAAGACTAGACATGCAGTGTGTGCGCCAGGCCCATGTATGCCTTATGAGACTAGACACGTACACACACACAGCGAGACAGCCATTCCTATCAACAGCTACACTACAGGAGCCAGAGCAGAGAGACAAATCCTTTTACTTTATTACTTTGTTTTCCCCTGCTAATCTTCAATATGGGTAAGTCTTAGATTTACCTAATTTATTTGCAATATGTGCAGTAACTGTTTTCTGTTTTGAAACGTAGTAATGTATGATTGTGAACTAGTAGTAGGAGTGCTTCCAACGCCTGCCGCCAAGATGAGAAATGTATTGTATTGTCCCATCTATGTATTTTTATGTTACATCTTGATCAAGTTGATGAGATCATCATTCAAAGCAAAGTTTGTGCATTCACCTACACATGGCTTTAAAGGCATCGTATAACAATGTTAAATCTGAGATGCATGGCCCTACGTATTATCAGTGTCAGTTATATGGTGTAATGTTGAAGCCCTGACAAAATTGCGCTTCAAAATGATCATGAAGTGCCTCAAAAAGTAAAAATATTTGACTTTTGAGTGACCGGTTTTACCATACTCATTTTCCCCAATAGACTGTAGTGTTATAAAACCGTGGGGGAAAACGGTTTTTGAAATTTTGAATTCCAATCATAGATATCTTTATAATCAGACAGGCGATTGGATTGTAAACGTCATGGGATTCCTGACTTACCTAAAGGTAAATAATTATGATTCCAGCATGAGCTCAATCCAGGATTTTGTTTCAGAATCTGAGGCAATGTTACCGAGTCACTTTAACTCTGCTGTAAACCATGTCAATTTTGAGAATTTAGTGCTTTATTCTTTTTTTAATAAATAAAGTGCTGCATGCTAGCTTGAGAAGCATAAACGCCTGATCTGCAAGATTACTTAAAGATAGTTTTATTTTTATCTAATTTTTCTAGTCTTTTTTAATTTTGATTACATGTATTTCAATTTAAACGACTTCAATTTATATTCCTTAAATTCTGTTTTAAACTACTGATTTGAAAGACTAGTCAACGCACCCTTTCGCACCCAACGCACTAGTCAACCCACCCTACAGCTAAGCTATTCAGGTTTGTGGCCATAACTCACTCCCCCCCCCCCCCCCCCCCCCCCCTCGCGCTTATCCCGAAAGATTGTGTTAAGGCGGTACTCCGTTCTCAACGCACCCTAATTTCAAGACAAGCGGGGGAGGGGGCTTTAAATTTAATCCATTTATGGTGTGTTCACACAATATATACAGAAGCCCTTATCTGTAAATAAACGGCTAGACCCGTAAATGGTAAACAAAATACCCACAGGCTGTACGAAGAAGTTTGTAGTAGGCCTACATGCATGTGTGTTGCACATGCATCAACCGTTCAATTTGTTTTAACTTTATTTATTTTCTTATTAATTGTAGGCATCTTTTGACATCTTTCGCCAAACAGTGGATTCGAAGCACGTTGTGGCCACAGTATATTGACGTGAGACCATGCTACTTTCTCTCAACCTTCTGGATCAGCATTCAGCAGCCTCATGACACAGTTGAAGCCTTTATCGGTAATTGTGCAGATGTACTTGTATTATTTCTGTACATATATCTTTCATTCTTCCATGATCATGACACTGATTAATTAGACATCAAGAATTGATCATTTCATTCGAAAGGCTTATTTTTCCTAAGTTTCAAATATATATAATTCAATTAATTTCAGATCACTAAAACCTGCAGGTATGTAGCAATAATCGACCATATTTTGTGAGTTTCGAACAGTGTTCTTTTCCCTCCTCAGCAATAAAGCTTTGATTCTACTAGCTCTCATCAGCAAACTAAAATTGTATTGATAATTATTTACAAAAAAATCCTGAATCACGTTTGCATTGCCAACAAATTTTTAAAATGCAAAGGTATGTTTATATTATGTTTGTAAGCAATGAGAGATTATTTTATTTTGCATTTTCAGACAGAATTCATTATTTAATTCATTGTTTACGTTCTAGTTTTAAAATGTATAAAAGTTTTTCTTAACTTGTATTCCTTTCTTTTTGCTCTATTCATGCATTAGAATTCTTTGCGTGCATGTACCCTGGATCAAGCACTTGCATTATACAGGAGATTCCACCCAAAATCTAAACCATGAGTCCCAGCTGAAGAGGAATATTTCCAAAATGAGGTCTACACACACAGAGGTTACTTTCCCCTTCATTATAGAGATACAGAGAGAGAGAGAGAGATGGGGGGGGGGGTGAGGAGGAGTTATAGTCACGAACCTGAATAGCTTAGCTGTAGAACTGAAATGCCCATTCATGTCACTTGCCAATTTGATGAATTACAGGGTTTACAAACATACATGTATGCCTACATATTAACGC